CCTGCGCCACGGCCGCCGCCTCCAGGGCCTGCGCCTCGCGGGCCTGCGCCGCGGCCGCCTGCTGGGCCTGCGCTTCGCGGGCCGACTCCTCCGCGGCCGCCTGCTGGGCCATCGCCTCGCGGGCCTGCGCCTCGCGCGCCTGCGCGGAGAGGGCCTGCGACTCGGACTGCGCCGCCCTGGCCGCCTGCTCGGCGGCGGCCCGCTGCTCGGCCGGCAGGGCCTCGGTGGCCTCCTGGATCACGCGCTGCTTCGACTCCATCTCGGCCTCAAGCTTCTGATACTTACTCAGCACCTCGTGCTCGCGCTGCTTGCTCTCCAGCTCGCCCTCGGCACGTGCGAAGCGGTCCTGCTCGGCGGCCTTCGCCACGGCCACCTGCAGGGCCTGCGCGTCGCGCGTCGCCCTCCCGGCAGCCTGCTCCCTGGCCTTCTGCGCCTCGGTCGCCTCCCTGAGCTCGCGATGCTTGAAGTCCAGCTCGTCCCCAAGCCTCTGCTTCTCCTCCATCACACGGTGCTCGCGCTGCTTGGTCTCCAGCTCGGCCTCGGCCTGCGCGAGGCGAGCCCGCTCGGCGGCCTGCGCCACCGCGAGCCGCAGGGCCTGCACGTCGCGGGCCGCCTGCTCGGCGACCTGCGCCTTGGCCTGCGTGGCCTCGGTCGCCTCCTCGATGTCGCGCTGCGTGGCCTCGATCTCCCCCCGGATCGCCTCCTGCCTCGCGATGACAGCCTCGAGCTCGCGGCCCTTGGCCCCCAGCTGCGCCCGGAGCTGCTGCACGCGCCACCGCTCGGCCTGCGCGGCGCGCTCCTGCTCGACGGCCGCGTCGCGGGCCGCCTGCTCGGCGGCCTCCATCTTGGCCCTCTGGGCCTCGAGGAACTTGCTGAGCGTGCGCTGCTTGGCGGCCTGCGCCCCGGAGAGTTTCGGGAGCTGGGTCTGGATGTTCGGGGAACGAAGGATGGCACAACCAGAAAAGCTCGGAGGTCCGCGCGGATTTCTCGGATCGGCGCTGGACCCCCCTCCCTGGCGCGCGGAGCGCGCCAGGGGCGGCGCCGGAGGCGCCGCGGGGGTCCAGCGCGGATCCGAGAAATCCGGGCGGACCTCCGCGTTGTTGTGTTGATGCCATCGTTGCGTTCCCCTGGATGTACTCCTTCAGCTCGCGCTGCTGGGCCTCCAGCTCGGCCTGGAGCTGCTTCACCCGGGCACCCTCGGCCTGCGCGGCGCGCTCCTGCTCCGCGGCCGCGTCGCGGGCCACCTTGCAGGGGCCCCGGGGCACGCAAGCACATGGCCACAGGATCCTAGCATTCCCCATCTCTCCCCACAGCTTCTTCGTCCTCGTGCTCCCCCCCGCTTCCCACGTGTTCCCACATCCTCCTGGGAGTCGACTATGAAAATTCCCTTTCCTTCCCGAAGCCTGCAGGGCCTGCGCGTCGTGGGCCGCCTGCTCGGCGGCCCGCGCCTCGCGCTGCTTGCTCAGCAGCTCGGCCTCGAGCTTCTGCTGCCCCACCACCCGCAGCTCGCGCTGCTGGGCCTCCAGCTCCGCCTCCGCCCCCGCGGCGCGGGCCGCGCGCTCCGCGGCCTGCGCCCGGGCCCTCTGCTGCTCGACGAACTCCTCGAGCTGGCGCTGCTTGGCGGCCAGCCGCGCATCGAAGCCCCCAGCGAGCACGCCCGCCTCCCCCGCCTCGTGGAACTCCTGTCGAGGCCGCCGCCCAGGTGGGGCCGGAGCAGGCGAGGTCAGCCGACGGCGCCGCGTCGCCATCACCGATGCATCGGCGACGTCATGGCGGAGAAACTCGGGCTCCAGAGCGAGCCGTATCGCCGATGCGGCGCGCGATGCATCGGCCCCATCTGTTCGGCTCCCTCTTGAGCGGCCTGGACCAGCGACGCCCCGATCGAGCCGAAGCCCAGACCCCCCCCCTCGGACCCGCCCCGACCAGTCGGTCCCCGGAGCCGCGCCCCGCCTTGGCGGGCCCCCGCCCCCGAAGGCCAGAAGGGGCCAAACGCTCTCGCTCGAGCTCCGCCTCCGCGCCGCCGCCCTTCGCCGCGCCGCTGCCGAAGGGCCTCCGCGCCGCCGCCGCGCGAGTGCCGCCACCGCGCCGCCGCCGAGGGCCGACGCACCCGAGGGCCCGCGGAGCCCTCCTGGAGCTCGCGCTGCTTCGCCCCCAGCTCGGCCTGCACCTGCGCGAGGGTCTTCTCGGCCTCTGCCGCCTCGGCCGACCGCGCACACCGCCGCCGACGTCGACGACGTCGGCGGCGGCCACGGCCGACTCGATGACTCGGTGACGACGACTTGTCGTCGACTCGACGACGTCGGCGGCGACACGGACGACTCGACGACGCCGCGGACGACGAAGTCGGCGGCGACGCGGACGACTCGTCGACTCGGCGATGGCGACTCGCCGCCGCCGTCCCCAGAGGCCTGCCGAGGCCCCCCGAGGAGGCCCCCCCTCGATCGTCGATCGTCGCCGCCGTCGCCGCCGCCCTCGCCGCCGTCGTGCTGCAGAAGCCCGTCACGGTCCTTCCTGGGCGCCGCCGCCGTCGCTCGCGGCTCGCCGTCGCCGCCCAAGGCCGCCGCAGGGCCGCCGCAGCGCGCGCGGAGGCCCGCCGCCGAGGACCGCCGCCGAGGGCGCCGCCGAGGGCGGCTGGGCGCCGCCTGCCTCCCTGGCCAGGGCGGCCCACTCCGCCGCGGCGCGCTGCCGGCTCCTCGGGCGCTTCGGCGGCCGCGCTGCCATCGCCGACGGCGTCGTCGCCGGCGGTCGTCGGCCGTCGGCCGTCGGTCGTCCTCCGTCGGTCGTCGTCTTCCGTTGAGCGCCGTGTCCTGTCGGGCGTCGTCGTCGGCCGGTCGTCGCCCGGCGGTGTCGAAGACAGTCGATGTCGTTTTCCGTCGGTCGTCGTCGTCGTCGTCGTCGTCGTCGTCGTCGTCGTCGTCGTCGTCGTCGTCGTCGTCGTCGTCGTCGTCGTCCTGATCGTCGTCCTCGTCCGTCGGTCCTCGTCCGTCGGTCGTCGTCGTCGTCGACGTCTACGCCCGCTTGTGGCCTCCAGAAGGAGTCCTGTGGCGGACGGCGGTCGAGCGACCAGCGACAACGAGCGACGACAGCGGCCCTCGGCGGCCTGGGCAGCGCGCGCGGTCGCGACGGCGGCGGCGGCGGCGGCGGCAACGGCAGCGGCGACGACGATCGCGGACGACGACAACGACGACGACGACGAGGACGACGACGACGGCCGATGATCGAGGTGTTTGGGCGCTTTGGGCATTCTCTGGAAGCTTCCTGGGGATTGCTGAAGAAACGCTGCACCAAAAGGAGCAGCGGAGGTTCCTCAAGAAGGAGGTTGCTGATTCACCGGCGCGGCTATGGGCTATATATGTTGGCGGCGCCTTCTTAGAAGGAGGCGCGCCGCCCTGCGGCTACAGACACGGCCCGCGCCTTCTAAGAAGCAGGGGTGCTTCTAAGAGTGAAGGGGCCCTGGGACACACAAATAAATACACACAAATAACAGGATTCACCATATTTCCCCATATGTTATGTGTTTTTGTCTTCCCCCCCAGTTTCCATATTCTCCTATATTTTTCTAGGGAATCGACGATGAATTGTGTCTGTGTGTCTTTTCTCCTCCTGAAAGAGGCCCAGGCCCTCCCCCCGCCCCCCTCTGCGCGTGGCCGAGCAGCACGCGCGGGCTCCTGGCCAGGCCCACCCCGAGCCCAGGAGACGGGGATCTGCCGACCCGGGTCAATCCAGACCCGGGTCTAGGGGAACAAAAGGTGGCATAAACATAACAACGCGGAGGTCCGCGCGGATTTCTCGATCCGCGCTGGACCCCCCTGGCGGCGCCTTCGGCGCCGCCCCTGGGCGCTCCGCGCGCCAGGGAGGGGGGTCCAGCGCCGATCCGAGAAATCCGCGCGGACCTCCGAGTTGTTATGTTTATGCCACTTTTTGTTCCCCTAGGGTCAGTCAAAGCAATACCCTGCAGGATCCTGCACACGAGCCCGGGTCAGTGCAACCCTGGCTCTGCAGGATCCTGCGAGATCCGGCGCTCTGGTTAGGTCGGGCAGTGTCCTCCTACAGGCGGATTCTGGAAGAAAAATGAAACATCCAGTGGGAATGTTCAAGCATGGTGAACAATAGGAGAAAAATCACCCCTAGACAATGTTTAAACTATGTTTGAACGTTCCTCCTCGAGAGGAACATGCCCGACATGACCCCGGTTTGCACTGCCCCCCGTCGCTGGGGCCCCGACGGAGCGGTGCCCACGCCCTCCCGGCATGATGGCCCGAGGGGGCACTGCCCGGACCTCCGGCGCACCGCCTCTCCACCCGTGGGCCTCGGAGCCCTCGGCCCTCCTCCTCCTCCTCCTCCTCCTCCTTCTCCTCCTCCTCCTCCTCCTCCTCCTCCTCCTCCTCCTCCTCCTCCTCCTCCTCCTCCGCCTCCTCCTCCTCCTCCCCTCCCCCCTCCTCCTCCTCCTCCTCCTTCCTCCTCTCCTCATCCTCCCCTCCTCCTCCTCCTCCTCCTCCCCCCCTCCCCTCCTCCTCCTCCTCTCCTCCTCCCCTCCTCCTCCTCCTCCTCCTCCTCCTCCTCCTCCTCCCTCCTCCTTCACTCCTCCTCCTCCTCCTCCTCCTCCGCCTCCTCCTCCTCCTCCTCCTCCTCCTCCTCCTCCTCCTCCTCCTCTCCTCCCCTCCCTCCTCCGCCTCCTCCTCCTCCTCCTCCTCCTCCCCCCCCTCCTCCTCCTCCTCCTCCTCTCCTCCTCCTCCTCCTCCTCCTCCTCTCCTCCTCCTCCTCCTCCTCCTCCTCCTCCATGGCATACAGTCGGACCTAGACGCTAGAACAACATAATAGCAATCCTCCAAGAGCACGAGATCCTCCGCCGGCCAAAAACACTGAATATCCCAGGGTACCCTCCCGAGGATGCACAAGAACACCCAACAGGCACGAAGAGCGTCAGAAGACCCTCCCCGAACAGACCTCGGCAATATACCTCGAGGAAGAGGAGGAGCTGAAGGAGGAGGAGGAAGAGG